TCCCCAAGAAGCCTCCAAGAGGCCTCAAAGAAACCCGCACAAGGCTACACAACGAGTGGAGTGTGTAATCTTATTTTCCTCCCCCTGGGCGAGCTGCGGCGCAGCGCCAGCCAGGTGGAAGTTGGTCACGGCGGCGCCCATGATTAGAGCCGGCGCTGGACGGGAAGACGGGGAGGGAGCACGAAAAGGAGAGGGGGGGAGGCCCCAAAGCAGCCCCCAAGAGGCCCAAACAAGCTCCCAAGAGGCTTCCAAAAAGCCCCCATGAGGCTCCCAAGAGGCCCCGCGACGACGTGACTGTACGTGCTCCGGACGTGCACCCCGCGAAGCGAGAGGAATCATTCGAACGCCCTTGCGCGCGTGCTGGGGGGGGGCCGGCCTGCGTCAAATAACACCACGCGGGCCACTCGCGCGCGTCGGCCGCGCGCGCATGTCGAACTCCTTCCAGAACCTCCATCGCCGATGCGAGGGCGCCGTCATCGTCGCCGGCGCGATCAGCATCCGCGCCGTCAGTGGCCGCGCCGTCGTCGCTGTCAGCATCGCCACCAGGATCGCTACTATCATCGTCGCGTTTACCGTTGTCGACGTTGCAATTATACCACGCCCGCCCAAGTCGCCGACTCGCACTGAAGCGCCCGCTGGGATGCGCCGAGCGGTCAGCGCCACCGCGGCCGGCGTTGGCCGCGCCAAACTAGCTGGCCGCCGCGCGCGCGAGCGCGGGCGGGCTAGCGCGGCCGCAGAGATGCACCAGCCAACACCAAGCACTCATCGCGATAGCATCCGTATGGGTTTTGCAAGCCAAGTCGCGGGCGGGCGGGCGGAGTGATTGCGCGAGCAATGGAGTCGACAGCTTCGCAAAGTGAATTGTCTTTTCTATTTTTCTACCCACCCACCCACCCCCCCCCCCCAAAAAAAAAACGGCGTTATCCCCCCCCTTTTCTCGGGTATGTTATAATCATATACGATTCTGATCACATGTCCATCCTAATATGTGTTGGCACTGTATTTATATAAGTTAAAAAACAAATGAATATACATGTATATATAATAAATAATAAAATAATAATAATAATAATAATAATAATATATATATATATATATATAAAAAAAAAAAAAAAAAAAAAAAAAAAAAAAAAAAAAAAAAAAAAAAAAAAAAAAAAAAAACGATACGCGGGGACATAGTTTGTTCTAACAATTGTTCACGAATCCCTTGCAAAAAAAAAAAAAAAAAAAAAAAAAAAAAAAAAAAAAAAAAAAAAAAAAAAAAAAAAAAAAAAAAAAAAAAAAAAAAAAAAAAAAAACGGGAAGAAGTGCACACGCGCGCGTCGTCGCGCGCGCATGCCGAAATCCTCCAAAAACCTTCGGTGTCGGAAGGATTTCGCCATCGAGTTTCCAAAAAAAGATACAAAAACACAAGGGCTCGCAACACTGATTTTCTAAAAAAGCTTACGCGCGAACTCTTGCGAACTCTGAAGAAAACCATTGGTTTTCAAGATTTACGTAAAATGCTACCAAACGGGCTTCGCGCGCGCGCATGTCGAAATCTGTCGAACGCCCTTGCGCGTGTACCGTCGCGAGAATCCTCTGCAAAAAAAGGACGAAGTGCTGACGCGCGCGTCGTCGCGCGCGTATGCCGAAATCCTTCAAAACCCATCGGCTTCGGAAGGATTTCAACATCGTGTGTCCAAAAAACCTCAAAATACACCAGGTTTCGCAACACGGATTTTCAACAAAAGCGTGCGCGCGCGCTCTTGCGTCGTCGTCGTCGTCGCCGTCCTCCCTCCTCCCGCGTCGTCGTCGTCGTCGCCTACGTCGTCCTCTGTCTTTCCTCGTGTTCGTCGTCGTCGTTTTCTTTGGCGTTGTGGTCGTGTCCGTCGTCGTTGTCGCCGTGGTCGTCCTTCCTCCTCCCTCGTCGTCGTCGTCGTCCGTCGTCGGCGTCTCGTCGTCGTCACTCTTATCTCGTCGCCGTCGTCGTCGTCGTCGTTGTCGTCGTCGTCGTCGTCTTCCCTCCTCCCTCGTCATTGTCGTCGTCGGCGTCGCCGTCCTTCCTCCTTCTTCGTCGTTCGCGTCGTCGCCGTCCTCCCTCCTCCCTCGTCGTTGTCGTCGTTGTCGTCGTTGTCGCCGTCGTCGTCCTCCCTCCTCCCTCGTCGTCGTCTTCGTTGGCGACGTCGTCGTCGTCTTCGTCGTCGACGGCGTCAGCGTCGTCGTGTTCGTCGTCGTCGACGTCGGCGTCGTCGTCGTCGTCGCCGCCGTCGTCGTCGTCGTCGGCGGCGGCGGCGTTGACGTCGTCGTCGTCGTCGTCGGTGTCGTCGTTGTCGTCGTCGTCGGCGTCGTCATCGTCGTCGTCGTCATCGTCGTCGGCGTCGTCGGCGTCGGCGTCGTCGTCGTCGTCGTCGGTGTCGTCGTCGTCGTCGTCGTCGTTGTCGGCGTCGTCGAAGTCGTTGGCAACGTCGTCGATGTCGTCGCAGTCGTTGTCGGCGGCGTCGTCGACGTCGTTGTCGCTGTCGTCGTCGGCGTCGCTGTCGCTGCCAAGTGCCATTAGGTACCCACCGTCGCTTTTTTTAGAGATTTTGCAAACCAAGTTGCGGGTGGGTGGGTGGGATGTTTGCGCGAGCAGTGGAGTGGACAACTCACTGCAACCAGAAATTAACTGCATCACATAGATTGCACCGCATGGATTGCCCCGCTTCAGTTCCACTAGGATTGCACAACATAGATTGAACAACAGACATTGCACAACCTAGATTCTCCGTTCTAGGAAAGAGAAAAGCCTCTCTCTCTCACACACACACGCACACGCGCACACACCGGGACTTAACCGCCCCCCTCTCTTAGCATTGCAATTAACATATGATTCTGCCCCATCGTCCATCCTGAAAGTATGAATTCATACCACTTCAGCCAAACCGGCACCGACCCCCCCACCGACATCCTTTGGAAGAAAACTACGCGCGCACACTCGCTTATCAGAAACCACCATTGCTTGGGGAAAAAAACAAACAAACAGGAAAGCGCGCGTACGCGTCGTCGCGCGCGTTCCGAAATCAATGAAAACCCGGCGTGTCGCAAGGATTTCAAAATCAAGCGCCACGAACACACATAAACAAACATATCACTTTGCAAAGAAAATGTTCAAGAATAGCGCGCACCCCCGCTCTTGCGAATTGCTAAGGAAGCCATGGTTGCTGTAACATGTTGATAAAATCCCAAGGAAATTGGCTTCTCGCGCGCGTCATAATCGTTCGAAATTCCGAAAATCCTCGCGCGCGTGCTGTCGCGAGAATCCGCTGTAATATATATAATATACACAGATAATTGCTTTTTTATGTTATGTATATATATTGTTTTTTTTTTTTTTTTTTTTAAAAAAAAAAAAAAAAAAAAAAAAAAAAAAAAAAAAAAAAAAAAAAAAAAAAAAAAAAAAAACCAGACCAGAGGTTTCGCCTGGATCCCAAAGTCGAGCGCACCGAAAACATAGAGGAGCACGGCTTTGCAACATCCGCAAAAAAATGCGCTCGCGCTCTTGCGGAGGGGAAATAATCGCTTACCCAACGTGTTCATCAAATTCTGCCACACGGGCCTCTAGCGCCGCATGTCGAACTCAATCGAACGGCCCTGCGCGCGCATTGGGGGGGGGCACGGTCCGTGTCGAATAATGCCATGCGGGCCAATCGCGCCCGTCGGCCGCGCGCGCACATCGAAAACTTCCCAAAACCCTCATCAGCGACACGTGGACACGATCATCGTCATCGGCGTGATCAACATCGGCGTCGCCATTGGCCTTGCCGTTGTCATCGTTACCGTCGTCGTCACCAGCACCGCAACTATCATCATCGCGTCTGCCGCTGTCGACGTCGCCATGATACCGCTCGCACTGAAGTGCCCGCGCGTCAGCGCGGCCTGCGAGACGCGCTGGGGAATACCTCAGCGGTCAGCGCCACCGCGACCGCGTCGGTCGCGCCAGACTAGCAGCTCCAAGACGGCGCAAGAATGCTCCAAGACAGCCCAAGAGGCACTCAAAACTGCCAAATGAGGGCCGCAAGACGGCCTCAAGAAGGGCCCAAACAGTGGGAACACGAACCAAGAACTCGAGCCTTCTGCACCAAGAGGCCACTAGCAGCCCCCCCTGCCTTTTCGAACAGCTGCCACCCAGAATGCTGCGCTGGCACGGTGGCGGGATTGCCGGAGGCCGCTGGATATCTCATAAGACCCTTACAGACAAGCTGCTCAGGAAAAAAACAGTTCAATGCGCTTTGCCTTTTCCAATGCTTTGCTCCTAAGATGTCCAAGTATCGTGGCAAGACGGCCCCCAGGGCCACCGAGATTGCCCACGAGACGTCCCCCAGGTGGCACTTAAAAGGCCGCCCAGGTTACCCAGGATGGCCCCACAGTGCCTCACGCAGGATGGACCCAAGACGCTCTCAAGGCTGGCCCCAGAGGCCTCGAAATGGCCCCGATGTGGCCCACGATGGCCCGAATATGGCCCCAGATGCCCTTCAGAACCTCACGCAGGATGGACCCAAGACGCCCTCAGGGCTGGCCCCAAAGGCCTCAAAATAGCCCCGAGGTGGCCCACGATGGCCCAAGGATGGCCCCAGATGGTCCCAACACAGTTCCCATGCGCTTACAGGAGGGCTCACCCCCTGGGGAGCCTGGCAGCAGAGGGCGCAGCCATTCGTTTTTCTGCCTGTGGTAGAAGAAGCCGTCTGTTACAGTCGACCTAGGCCAGAAGAACATCCTTTAAGAACATGAGACCCTCCGACGACCAAAGCAAACAGTACATCCAAGGGTACCCTCCCCAGGATGCACAAGAACATCCACCAAGCACGAAGAACACATGGCACCATCCCCTAATCGACCTCGATATCATGCCTCGGTCCGACTGCACAGAAAATGGAAACAATGAGGAGAAGATAAGAGGACAAGCGGATGAGCGAGCGAACCAGGTACGGCACGAGAGCGGCGGCGCCGCCGCCCACTTGCAGCCTGGCCCGCCGCCCCTCCCGCTGGATGGCGGCATCGATCACATCGCTGGAGTTGCCCATCAGGCTTGCGACCTTCACTTCAGTGGAACGCCGGCTCCCGACGAGGTAGGCTGAAGACGAGAGGCTCGCGAGCAGCTTGTAGGGACGCCTCCACTTCCTCGAACTCCTCGAACTCCTCGAACTCCTCGAACTCCTCGAACTCCTCGAACTCCTCGAACTCCTCGAACTCCTCCTCCTCCTCCTCCTCCTCCTCCTCCTCCTCCTCTCCTCCTCCTCCTCCTCCTCCCCCTCCTCCTCCTCTCCTCCTCCTCCTCGAGCTGCCCTGGGTCAGGACCCCCCGAGGCCGCTGGCCCGCCCGCGCTGCCGCGGCCACGTCCGGCGCTGCTGCCGGCCCCGACTCGCCCGGTGCCGCCCGCCGCCGCCGCGGGCAGCAGCGGCACGCCACCGCCCGCCACGTGCAGTGGCCGCTGCCGCTGCGCCATGCCAGCGCCGCGCAGAGCACACTTCCTCCTCCTCCTCCTCCTCCTCCTCCTCCGCCTCCTCCTCCTCCTCCTCCCTCCTCCTCCCCCTCATCCTCCTCCTCCTCTCCTCCTCCCTCCCCCTCCCCCTCATCCTCCTCCTCCCCCTCATCCTCCTCCTCCTCCTCCTCCTCCTCCTCCTCCTCCGCCTCGGGACCGGCGGCGAGCGATGGGGGGGGAGGTCTCCGCGTTGCGGCGCGAGCTCAACGTCACGAAGCAGGAGAGCGGAAAGCTCCGCATGCTGCTCGCGTCCGCTGGGAGCTGAGCTTCTCAGCAGCTGTTCACGGTCACACTGAAGATCCTGAGCACCCTGTTGCTGCTGGTGTTCCTGGTCACTCTCGTGCAGCTCGCGCAAGCCAAAGCCCAAGTGGTAGGCCCTACTTCGAGGACGGTAAAGGACAAGGGCAAGGTCATCGGGAACGGCAAGGGCATGGCCGAGGTGGCCTTTGGTTCGCCCCCCTCCCAGCAACCCCTCCTGCTGCTCCTCTTGCTGCTGATGCTTCACTCGCTCATCGTGGTTCTGGAGCTGCTCATGGCCGTGGAGCTGCTCCCTCTGCAGGCGCCGCAGACCAGGCGGGATCTGCGCCGCCTCCTGGGGCTCTTCCCGGCGCTGCCACCGCCCCCTGTCCCAGTCGGGACGCCTGGACAGAGGCAAAGCAGGAGCAGAGGATCCATCCTCAGCCCGTCAAGCTTGAGGAGCTCTTCCAAGCAGAGCCGCACGCGGCAGACACCGTAGCAGGCGACGCAGGAGGTCCAGGAGGATGCTCCTGGCACTTAAGTAGCAGTCCTGCACACGAGACGTGAGAATTTCGCCGCCGGCATCCAGACTGGTCTCCTCTCAATCTCCCTTGCCTCGCTGCTGCCGCCGCCATGGGGGAGGTAGGGGTGTGAGGTGAGTGAGGAACGAAGGCTAGTAGTAATCCTTGGAACCATCTGTGGCCCCCCAAGGTGGGCTGATAGGCGCTGACATTGAAGCTGACGAAGACCAGCGTGCAGAGCAGCCCCGGGGACAGTGCTTGTGACGGTACCCTGCCCGAGGCTTCGATAAGATCGGGGGGTACTGTCTGGCGCGGGGGATGGGCAGTGTTGTCCCCTTTGCTCCTCTCCATGCGTGGCTCTGACCACTCCAAGCATTTTCCATCCCCTCTCCTTGTCCTAGGTTCCACGACTAAGGGAATAATCAATCAATCGATCCTCATCCTTCTCCCTCCTCCTCCTCCTCCTCCTCCTCCTCCTCCTCCCCCTCATCCTCCTCCTCCTCCTCCTCCTCCTCCTCCTCCTCCTCCTCCTCCTCCTCCTCCTCCATCACTTTCCCTCAAATAGGTGACTCCTCCCTGTCGCGCCCCCTGACCTGTCGATAGGGCGACACGGGCGTTTCGCATGATCATCAAGCTTAATATTTGCAACAACTTTACGGATCGAGGGCGGGTGAACGGTGAACCGGCGTGCGCCAGAGCGCGCCCTGCTCGAGCTGCCGGACGAAAGTCTCGCAGGATTGGCCCATTGTTTCTTAATCATGACGGCATCTGGTTTCTCTCACACTTCCCACGCATTTCCCCACAAGTTCTTGAAATGTTGACGACACCTGATTTCTCGCGAAAAACAAAATTGCCATGTGCTTCCAAATTCTTGAATGCTAGCGCCATCTGTCCAGCGCTTCAGAGGCCGGCCTGGTACCCAGCAGACACTTGTGGGAGGCCTGGAAATGGGCACCAACACCAACACAGGGGGGTGCCTCCACAGGGAAAAGATGATCCTCGATTTCGGTGCTGGTGGTAATACTTCGGCCACCTTGGAAGCCAGAATTTTACCACCATCACCGAGATCGGGATCTTCTTCCCTCGGTGGAGGCACACCGCCGAAATTAGTGTTGGTGCCAACCTCTAGGCCTGCGAACTTGGAGTGAAAAATGTTAACACCGCTTTCGACAATCTACCATCCGTGCTGCAGATGGTCTTTTTCAGCAGGTTGGCTTTGCGGTGCTGTTGGACTTGCACCCAAGTCCGAAACCCTTCCTTCTCATACTCTCCTCGGCTTTCTGGGTGGCACAGCGAATCCAGTCCACGCACGGCTCGTATTCTCCCCCTGCAGAAATTGCTCTTTCCGGTGGCGTCGCAATAATCTTACGAAGCATCTTCCGCAATACGGTCTGGAGCTTAGACTCCCTAGCCGCGTTCATGGTCCACGTGCCACTGCCATACAAAACCGTCGACGAGAGCACGACGTCGAAAAGACGAAGCTGGGAGCGCAACATATAGTGCTTCTTACACAGCACACGTTCAAACTTGCCAAAGGCACCCCATCCCTTCACAATGCGGCTCTGTATCTCTACGTCGTGAAGACCCTGGAAGCACAATGTGCGCCCGAGGTAAGAAACGCATCCGTCAACAGGGAGCACCTCCACCGTGCCATCCCCAGAGGGTCCTTTGCAAAATGTGGCTCTCGCCAGAACGCCGCGCACATTCGTCTGAAAAGTTTGCAGCGGTTTCACAGATTGAGCGCGGGTGGTTTTCAAAATGTGGCTCTCGCCAATATCGCCGCACACATTCGTCTTAAAAGAGTGCAGCAGTTTGCGAGACGGAGGGCGGGTCCTTCTCAAAATGTGGCTTTCGCCCGAGAACCACGCACGTTCGTTCTTTTTAAGTTTGAACGAGTTTCACAGATGCCGGACGGGTCCCTTCAAAATGTAGCTCTCGCCTCAGCGCCGCGTGCATTCGTCTAAAAGGTTTGCGGCAGCTTCAAAGATGGAGGGCGGGTCGTTCACAAAATGTCGCGCACATTCGCCTCAAAAATGCGTAACAGCTTAAAGGATGGAGGGCGGTTCCTTTTCAAACTGCGACTCTC